GGTTGGAAAACTGAATTTTGCTCCCAGCAGGAGACTCCTTTATCCTGCTGGAAAATTTCAATGACAGTGAAACTGGAGGATCATGAAGGGGCTTAACAGAATATGAGCCCGAGTGGTGTTTTGTAATTGGACTTCTGCGCTCACCACAGACTGTCCATAACAATAAGATCCATGGACATATGTCTTCGACACTTGAGTGCAGAAAGGGACCGAAGAGTCAATCCCTATCCCCATCTGGTGTAAAACTTGCCCCATCTGGAGGCAAGTTTTACACATGACCCTGAGCCTCTTAAGGGTTATTCTGAGAACCTGTGCCATTTCATTTGTAAATGCAGTTTCTACTTTCTCAACTTCGTACACTTTTTTCTATGTACATTATACAGGATTAAATATAAAAATCATATATGTTCCTGAAGCATTCAGGTCTTCTGAGTAAAGGCACCTTACAAGGTAAAATTGTAGACCCTCTAAAAATATGTTTTCATTTAAAGAACATATTCCAAAAATTAGAGCTAGCATTAGCAAATAAACATACCTTTGTGATTTATCATCATTGATACGTTTTTCCTGATAACCAACCTTGGCCAAGCTGTGAAATCTAGAGGAGGCTGCAGTGTGAAAAAGGTCGTAATAGCTGCTTTAGCACCTTAGCAAAGAAAGCCCCAATGATGAAGACTGGATGTCAGCTTTAATTTTAAAAAAGTACGTTAAACAGACTGAGACACTACCAGTTCTCTAAAATTAGTATCTATGAAAAATGACGTGGTTAACTGAAATAAATTAAATAAATAAATAAACGCATGAAAAAATACAAAACTTTCTATTTTCCAGAGTCACCACCTTCATTTTTCATTAATGCTTTTAATCTGTAGATATATAGAGTTGCCCATGTCACACAGTGTTCAAGACTTTTAGAAATATATTCATACTTTTTTTTTTCTAAATCAAAATGTTGGCCTTTGCTTCTGAGCTTTTTAAAATCGATTTAATTAGAGGCGCGGACCTATATTATTTGCCAATAATATAGTTGTTTATGCAGTGACATTTTTTCATAGTGTTTTACTTCTTTGCTAAAAGAATGGTCCTATAAAGTTCCTCCATTTCTCAGGACAGTTAGCTAATAGGGAACACTTTGATGATGACTACAGAAGAAGTAATATATTTCAGTTCTTCAATTCATTCATATGTTTGAAAATGGTGCTATTTGTCAAAGCTGTTAACCAACGGATAACCAACGAAGATCTATTTACTGTTTTGCTAGCTTTAACTCTGTTTTGCTAGCTTTGCCTCAAGTTATGGTAGTGTTTTATTTTAAGCCTGGTTATTTCACATACTATACTTTCACTCAATGTAAAAAAACTGTGTATATTTTAAGCATATGTTTAAATGACTAGAGGGTTCAAGAGACTTATTACTACAATATAACATTTGTAACACTGTTGGGTACGTCGTCCTTAAAATTATTATTCAGTTTATTCATTATTAATTTAATTTGATTTAAATACATTTTAAGATGTAACCTTTTTCCATTTTAAATCAAATTAAAAGTACAGTGGTTGTCCCATGTCTACTTTGTTAATTATTGAATTGGAATATTTTATGAAATATCACATATAGGATTTAGAATCGATTTTAATCAGGACTGTGTATGGTTTGACTGAGAGTGACTGAAATAGATTCAGAAATAGGTATAATATAGAAACACATATAATAAGAGATGTTTTCATCCTTTGATATGAATATGAGAGACAGCGACCTGCCATGAGTTTAGATTCCACATCAACATAAAAATCTCAAATGACTTGCTTTTTATTTTAGGCATCTGAAGCTTCTACTTTCTGATAGAAGTGCAGCCAACAGCAAATTCCCACTTTTGTTTGCTTACATGCTGTGTTTCCCAGATGTTGTTAAGAGCGTGGATTTGGATGAGTGCAAGGAAGACCCAGAGGTGTGTCTATATTTTCATGCTCAGTTGAGGAAAGACAACTTGTCGCATGGTGTCAGAATCCATCAGCCTGTTCCTGACCTAGAATTTTAAGCACAGATCTAATATCTGAGGAATGAAAACAATGGATGTCTCCATTACTCCCTGGAGCTCTTGGGCCTCAAGAATAGCTTCTTTCCTCTTCTATTCTGCCTGTCTGTTTTTGAGTCAGAAGATAAATGAGCATGCTTTGATACAGCTTGAGGAAAAAAAGAATGTCAAAAGTCCCCACGGAGTCCTAAAAGGCAGCAAAGATATGGAATAAAAGGGAATGGGACAGAGATTCAAACTCACTGAAGGACAGAAGTATTTTATGAAACCAGGCTGTCCTAGTCGTATCCTTGGTCATTTCCCATAATCGTCAAAGGGCAACCTAATTTGCTACTGTTTTTCTAAGACATATCACAGAATAATAGTGTTACTCAAAGTGAAACAGCCAGTATTTGGTTATATTTCGAAGTTCCCTAGCTGATGACTTTGTCTCTTTTAAAATTACAATTGTGCAGAGTAAATTAAAAATATTTCCAATATGCAACACAGTGCCAGTGAACCTTTACTAATGGTGGTTAATAAATGCTTAGAAGCTAGGCAAATGAACAATTGGACTACAATTTTCCCTGTAAACAAGTAATTAGCACTGAAATATATGATATTAAATTTCCCTTCAGTCTGAATCATCATGTAATGAGCTATTCAATTGAAAAAAATCAAACATTAAGTTCCTCATTTGGCCACTGATACACATATACTTGGTAAACAGAAGTTTAGAAAATTATGCTAAATTAAAAAATGAAAAAAAAAAAAAAGAATCTGGTAGCTTGTAAATGAAATAATTAATGGAAATTGTGGCAATTTTACATAAGTGATGAGGAGCTTCAGCACCTGAAAAGTCATCAGTACATATATCTGAGCTGAATCTACCGATACATAGCTATGACATATATATTTTTCTATAAGAAAAAACAATTGAAACTTTAAAACCAAGATAAAAGCATCACTTTTTTTTTTACAAAAGTCCATAGATTGTTTAATACAACATACCATATTCTCAACAATTCAACATCAACAAAATTTTGTTAATTAAAAAAAAAAATCTGCATATTACCTTTATTGCACAGAACAATTTGAATGTATTTTCCATAGATTTCTTTTTTAGTATATATATTTTTTTGTAAAAAGTTGGCTTGGACTACATGGTCAGTATAGTCCATGGTCAAAATCAAAAAAAGGAATAACATATACCAAAATCAGAACTTCCCAAACCACTTAGGAAGAAAAAAAAAAAGGCTAGGTACAGTTGCCACACTTTGAACAAAGAGAGCATTCATAATCAGCAAGAGGGAGAACCATGAGCCATATCCAGCGTTTTTTTTTTGTTTTGTTTTGTTTTTTTCCTCCTTTATGCAAAACGGATTACACCAAAGCTGCTTCAGATTGCTCCATGGGTGAAACCATCTGTGTCACTTCAACCATCTGCATATTCAGTTCTTACTTCCAGCCATTACTGTGATGTAATATGCAATGTCATCCATCATAGATAACTTGGCCTTTATCCTCACATGTTTTCAAAGCCCGGCTGTACAACCGTGTGTACTTGAAAAGGTAACTTTTGATTTTATTTGCAGAACCAAGTGGGAGCATAATATGCTGCAGTTTTTCCCCCTGACAAATAAATGCACATTTCTAGGAAAAAACGAACATGTAAATGATTCTGGAAGGTAATTTTTCCATGGCTTTGCTGGGGGAGGCAGTATTGTCATGAATAAAGCATTCATTTCATTAAATTTAAAAAAAAAATCAAGAAAGAAATGACAGAAATGTTCTTACAGCTTGAGGAGCACATCATATCCAAAGCGTGAGCACCGCAAGTTTTATTCCATCTAATCATGTTGAGCACAAACTAATACTATTACATACGTTTTTTTGAAATGCTATTTAAAAGCTTAGGAGTAAGTACTTAAGTGCCAGAGTCAACCATTCTTTTGGATGGCAAAACTGCTGTGGATAGGTGCATCTATTGTGAGAACAGAGCATGGTTTCAAACACTTTTCTCATTTCCTTTTTGTGTCAGGTCCTTAATCTATCTGTGAGCACTGTCTGGGTAACATCTGAAAATGGACTGAGTGGCACTGGTGCTAAGTACTCACTTCAAACCATTATGTAAAAATGTTTAATACTCACATTTAACATGATTTTATGCATTTTTTTGCATTAATTATTTATGTGAATATTGTCGGTGTAAAAATGCAATTTTTCTTATATACCTTTTGGCTGTTTTTTAGCTGATTTTTTAGATCGGTAAAAATGGACCGATTGCCAAAAATTTGCACCAAATTACTGCTGTAATCATCATTGCGTTAACAGGGTTATAATCTGATTTTACAGACTGTTAATTGTTTTTTCTTGGTTATGAATTGGGTGCTATGAAATTAAGATAACATTTTACAGATGTTAGTAACAGTTTTGTCTCTCGAAGAATTTGCTGTGTTTTTTTCATAATATGACACAATAAATTTCCTGAATCACAGAAAAACCATGGAAAACAAAAAAAGGAGGCACAGGAGTATTCACAATGATATACAGTGATGAAGATGTACTTGAATTGGTCAGTGTTTAAGGTGCTCAACAACCCATACAAATCTCATTCATAAGAGAACACCTAACTTCAGAATAAAGCAAACACGAAATAAAAAAAATACGCACAAAAAACAGAGACGGCCAAAATATGATCTGCCCCTCGCATTCTAGCTTTTAAAATGTTTTATTTTTATTTTTGTGATATAGTTATCTCATTAGAAATCCACAGGAATAAGAACTGCCTATGACAAATCTGATTTTCAATTAATGCCCCCACAGGCCTTGTGGAAACCACAGATGCCATGTAACACTGGGTGTGGTTTCATTCCTTGTCCATCAGTCAGGAGAAAGAACATTTTACTCTATGTTAACAGACCAGGATCCACAGGTTTGTAAGAGAGGAAAGGAAATGTCTTCTTTACCATTTGTCTTATTTTAAAGTTCAAAATTAATAAATTCCACAGCTCTGTTAGATCATTTTCATGTTAAATTTGCGAGGAGCATCCACTGTGGTGCTGCTCATGCCAGCGTCTGATTTCCGTGGCACATACTCAATCTCAATGTTGTGTTTAGTGTTGCCTTTACCTCTGCTCCAGAGGAACAGCAGTACCAGGCAAAAGAGGACGACACCAAGAAATGAGATGAATCCCATTGTAGTTGCAATAATCAATGTCTTTATGTCGAATGGGAAAGGGGCATTGACTCTTGTATCATTAGCTCCAGTTTCTGTCGGCTGGTTGGATATGAAAGCAAATGTTTTGTTGGGCTGGTGTGGCCAGTCAGGCGAATAGCTATGAATATGAAGGTGTGCAAGAGAGGTGTCATTTCCACCTGCGTTGCTAGCTATACACACATATGTACCGTTGTCTTGAATCTGGGCATAGCGCACTTCGAGAGTACCATCTGGCAACACAGACAGCCTTCCAATCATCTTGGTGGTGATAAACTTTTTCTGTGGAGATCGCCACATTATCACTGGAGCGGGATCCCCATCTGCTTGGCAAGCAAAATGAACAATGGCTCCCTCGTCAACAAATTTTTGCTGAGGTTTGCGATCCCTAATCCTAGACTTGCGACACGTGAAGTAGTTTGGCTGCAGAACATCTGGGAAGTCTTTGAACTCTTTGCCTTGGACGAACTCAGGGGAGGCACAGGTGGGCTGCTGCCTGTTGAAGTTCAGTCTCCAGCGTCGGCGGAAAACCCACAATAGTCGACAGTCACAGGCCAAGGGATTATCATACAATGCCAGGGTTTCCAGGTTGCCAACTGAATGGAAAGCAGACTCCTCTAAAGTACTAAGCGAGTTCCCAGACACATTTAGTATTTTCAGGTAGTTTAGACCTCGGAAAGAGTAGGGTTCAATCATTGCCAGTCTGCCTCCCACAAGGTGAAATTCCTGCAGACGCAGCAGATCATGGAGCTTATTTCCTTCAATGGTATGGATAGGGTTGTATGAAAGATTGAGAAAGCGCAAATAAACCAAGTGCTGCAAGGCTACATAAGGAATTGTGGTCAGGTTGGCATTTGCAATCGTCAGGTAGGTGAGATTTAATCCATACAAGCAATTTGGGGTCATCGTATCCAAATATGGCCAATTTGCTATTTCCAATATTTTTAACCGATAGAGCCGTTTAAAAGAATAATCCCGTATGACATTGATATTGAGGTGACGCAGCCTGAGAGTGATTAAACTGTGGAGGTGGGTAAAAGCCTCTGTTGGCACAGAAGACAAGTTGCACTTCTCAAGACTCAGGTGCTCAAGACTACTTAGGCCATGAAAAGCTCGATGGGAGATGAAAACCAGATCATTATCACCCACTTCTAAAGAGCGGAGGTTATACAAATCCTGGAACATGTAGTCCAACAGGATGACAATCTTGTTCTCACTTATGTCCAGCTGTGTAAGATTGCTCAGACCTGTGAACACACCGAGCTGGATGAGCTTTAGCTTGTTGCTACGTAGCCCCAATATTCGCAAGCCATAAAGGTTGTTGAATGCTCCAGGCTCAATAGTGGAGATAGTGTTTTCACTCAGTTCCAGGTGTTCAAGGTTGGGACAGTTGGCAAACTCATCTGGGTTAATGGTTCTGATACGGTTCTTGCTGAGGTCCAGCAGTCTTGTTTCTGCAGGAATGCCTTCAGGAACTGTTATGAGTCTCTTGCGGTGGCACATCACCGATCGCTCTTGAACATTGCAATCACACCGGGATGGACAGCCTGTTGTGGATCCAGACAGGACGGTGCTCAGCATCAGAATCAGAATAGGCTGCCAGAAAGCCACCAGGTAGCTGTGCCCAGTCGCTTCCCTGCCCACCATCTTATCGGTTACCTAGAGAGACGCAGATACATAGCAAAATGTTCATGATGATCTGTTCAGTTAAAAGACAAATACAGTGCAAATTGTGAAAAACTGAAACATATGAGCTAAAACAATAGTTTTAACAGTCTTGAGCAATGAGTTGATTTGTCATCATGCAGTTTAATGATAAAATTCTACTATTTTACATTATATGTGGGAGATGTTCAGAACAGGAGTCTGAATTAATAGCTCTCAGAACAATTCTCTTTGGTTATTATGTGAATTTTCTGGCAGTTGGCAAGTTCAACAACTGCATGTGCTAAAAGGACAACATTCTGATGCGACACAAATGCTAACAGAACAGAGAAGAGTAGAGAGAGTGTGTCCTGCTGCAATATTCATGAACAGACTAAAGATGAATAGAGGTTACAAGGAATAAGGTATGTGCATGCAATTATAAATTCTGCATCTTGAACTTGCCAGTGCAGAGTTTCAAAAGGTATTTTAAATCCGAGCAGCTCCTGTAAATACACAGTCGTCCATGAGACCTTGTTATATGAATAAAAATACTGATCCAAGGAAGAAAATCAAAGGCAAAATCATTCTAGTAATCTACATACATCTTTCACTACTGTATACCCTCTTGGTGTACGCTGTGGAGTCCTGAACATATCTACACTAAACCTTACAAATAATCAATCAGTCAATGCTGTCTCCGTGACATAAAGCAAAGAGACGTGTCTAGTGGAATTAACAACATATTTCTGTAATCCAAGTCATGCTGTGTTGTAACAACTTTTTCGGAGCACATCCGTGGTTTAGTGTGGTATTTTGAAGTCTTTTTCTTCCTATTACTTAAAATGTAAATTTGCTGTGTGAGGGTTTGCTGTGTGAGGGTGGAGCAACAGTAACAAAATGATATAATCAAAGATAAAAATGGTGGCAACTATGACGTATGTGCTATGGATGACAGTTGCTCACAGTTAAAATATAGACCATCAGTGAATTAGAAATGGAGAGATACATATGTACAAGACAGGAAACAAAACCTGTTTGATTTGATTCCACTGGTTAGCGTGAGTCTATCCTTTCTAACAGCAATGAAATGATCCATTTGTGTCATAGCAGAACACCCATTTATAAACAAACAAAAAAAGAGCATGTGATCAGCATTAATGCTACAACAATTTTGAACTATATTACCACACAAGGAGTTGGATGAAAATAAGAGGTAAAAAATGTAAAGAAAAAACAGGCTGAAAAAAATTATTTCACATATAATTTGCACTCCTCTTTAGACATGTCCCTGGGAAATGCCTGTCAATGTGTGATCACTGTTGTCACAATACAGTGAATATTCCCAGTGGTATGCAGTTTTATCTCTTCTTCTAAATTAGTCTTTAGGATCCCCAGCACCTCATCTGGTATAGCATGCGACTCAGATGCCAAGGCTAAGTTCTCACTACATTAACCCATCCTGGTCTCTGTATTGCGTGTCATTCCCCGTCTCTGTCTCCCAATCTTTCTGTCTCTCTGTGAGGCACACAAAAGCCACCAAAAAAGAAAAAAGTCCATTTCTGAGTGGTTATGTGATTGTTCTTCCAGATGCCCAGGAGGTCTGTGAAGATGGATAATGCACCTTTATATTTCAGCAGATTCAGTGGACCACAATACATTTGACAGATTGATAGTGTAGAAAGAAAAAATAAGTGATATCCAGCTTGACAGTTAATTATGGGGTAACCTGTTACTACTATTGTGGCCACCAGCCACTGATAATTTTCCCCCCAGTGAGCCCATAGTCAACTGGACAGTAGAATCATGAAAAAATGGGTTAGATTTACTTTGCTCAATTTCATTTTATTGGTCAAAGTTATGAGGTCAAAGTTCAGATTGGGGATTTGATGATACCATCTGTAATCAAGTGATGCCAGAAACAGTTGAGAATTTGTCTGAATTCAGAGACCTGCACCGGAACCTGCTGTGCTTCATGCTGCCTCTGGATATACTTAATATTTCTTGTTCCTTAATGTACACTGATTAAGTAAGTGGCCTGTGAGTGACATAGTGTGTCATAGGACATCGCAAGAAGTCTATGAAAAATGAAAAAAAAAATGGCCTCATGACAGGCTCAGACTCTATCTGTTGGCCTACATTGTGGGGATATATCACATATTGGCTATCACTCAATGAGATGCTATTATGCCCAGCCCTAATGCCACTGACACGTTAACACAATCATAGAAATATTCAAAGTATAATCCCCTGTTGGTAAAGCTCCTTGACTACAACTTCAGCAGGTTGTGGATTGCAGTAAGGCTTCCGAACAAGTCCCTGCACTCTTCTATACATCCCAACAGTGCACGTGATTGGGCAATATTAATAAGAAATTTGAATATTTAAGTAAAGTTTTTGATGAAATTGCATTTTTATGACTTAGATGCATCTAAGTCATTTGCAGCACAATTTACAATTTATAGCACACGGCTTCAGCAGCAAATATGCAATGAAACATGAAAAGATATGGACACATTAAGATGAAGAATGCTATCCATGGGTAAACATTTGCAGCTCTGTTTTGTTAATGATCTGGTGTTATCATCCCCTCACAGGCATGTATTCTGAATGTGTTCTTCATTCGAATCAGCACTCCAGTGAGCTCCCAGAGAATTACATTAATTGAGGTGAAGTGAGAGGGGGTGTGCTGCTCAAAAGAATGAATATGTAAGAGAAATAAGACAGTGGGGCTCAATAAAGGAGGACTCACTGGTCCAAGACCAGTAATAACTAGATCAATGAATAGAGAGATTAATGCCTTTATGCCAGGATCCGCTGGGATGCTGAAGATGTTGCTTCATACGTAAAGTAGATGGTGCCCTGTTACAATGGAGTAGGTGTAGGCAGTTCAGTGTAGCATTAAAACACGGTCCAAGTCGCTATCATTAAGTAAAGTTTAATATGACATTTTATGGTTTTGATATAGAGCCCAATTTTAAAATAATTTTCAAAACCCAAGGAAGAGCAGGTAGATGAAAGAAAGATGGTCTTCAGATTCTCGACACACTGAAGCTAACAGTACAGCACTACAATCATAACACAGTAACCGAAACATTCAGCCAGTTCATGTAAAAAAAGGTTCACGTTAAACTTTAACATCTGCACTGTAGCAAGCTAGAAATTATTTTCTTTTCCATATCTTATCATTCCTTTTTTAACAATTAGCACATTCGAGAATATGCATGTATCAGTGTCATTAAGTCCTAATCATCACAGAGTAATCCGAGTCACATTTTAGTTTACCTGTCAGAAGATATCACTTCTGAGCCTTGTTAAATACCATTGTTAAATACCTTTAAGCTTCCTGGAAATCCGTAAGATGATGCTGACCTTATCTGTAGCACAAAGTGTTAAAAGCCTTTAAAGCCCATTCCTCTGCAAACCGCTTAGTCAGCTGCCCGTCTAATCCTTAATGGCCAGACCAAGGACTGGAATCTTACTTCACCACCTATTTACTCTTCTTTAACATGCCCTCACACTCTTGTCCCCAGTGTTTACAATTTCATATGATGCCTATTAGTGGTATCAAGCATAAGTAATTCCAGTCATATTTTCTTTGTATAGTTTGCAAATTTATATTTTTGTGTAAGTTGACAAAAGTGTTTTATTCTCTTTCTGCTATCACTTTAATCACTTCTAAGATGCTTATTGGCTTTCTAACTGCAAGTAGCATTGCAGGTATTAAAGCATAAACTAAAAGTGACACCATGACTAAATGCATCTTAACCACAAGTTTTTTTTGACCTTTAGCAAGTGGTAGTAAGATCTGTCTCACACTGTCCTGGATGAATTTGAACAAAATTGTTAACCTTGTGTCATTGAGAAGCTACGCTGCCTGCTGGCACTGTTGGCTGGGTTTGAACCTGTGATATGGCAGGGCTTAAATGTAAGCTGACGCCCGACAGATGGACAGTAAAGCCCTAATCCAGGTGAAGAAGCTGGTTGGTGCATCGAGGTGCAGAATTCCAACAGTGACCAGCTGTTGTTCTGACAAAACTCTGCCGTAAAACCTGTAGACATGTCCCTCCTGAACTTCACCTCTCAAAGGGGTCATTATTGCTTCTGCGCAGTGTTCTGTTCATTGATGTCTCATTCTGTAGTACAGCAACAAATAGGAAACTGGGAAAGAATTACCAGTACATTCTGCATATATAGGGAATGACAGGAATTTCTGATGTTGAGTCTGCCTTTACTGATAAAAAAAAAAAGATGCAAACAAAACTACTTTCTAATTAAAAGAAAAAGCCACTTACACAAAGCCTGTCAGGAGACCAAACTTACACCAAAGGAAAAAAACAAAAAAAAAAACAAACAAACAAAAAAAATACTGGGGATGGGTTTATACATTAAAAGTTGATTACTTGGACCAGTCATATTGAAAGGGATTGTTTTGTTGTTCCAGCTCGTAAAAGATGTTTTTTTTTTTCCTTTTAATAAGACAATCAACAGGGCAATTAGAAAGATATTAACTCAGTTTTATAATAAATAGTGAATTCTTATTGTTTTGACATATTTTTAAAAATCATTTTATAAAACCCTTACTTTTAGCTCTACTTTAGAGATGTTGCCCTATAGTCATAGTAAAAGATTTTGATGATAGTAGACAGTTGCCAATGTAAAGAAAATACAATTATAGTTGGATAGATAATATTATTTGGGTTTGGTTCAACTGATTAGCTTATTGTTAAACTAGAAGGGATATCTATTTCAAAAACAGTGTAGCCAATAATAATAATAGCTAATGATTCTGGTCAAATTTTTTAAAATCATGTTTCATTAAACATTAGTTTATCGAGGCCCATAGCTGGGGCTATTGTGTATTTTCTTTTTTCTTTGTTGGGTGTTTGGTGTGCAATTTAGGGATCGTGATGTTCTATCATTATTAAACTATTCAGCTTGCCAGCTCTCTGCAGAGAATCGTGATTTTTTTTTTTGTTCATTCTTTTTAAGGAGATAAAGTGTATTTTGGAAAG